TCAAAATAGGTGTATGTGTCTGCATTGTTTAATTTGACGTTGAAGGTATAACCATGCTCGGTCTTCAAGTAAACTCTTTTTACCTCCATAGTTTTGTTAGGACTGAAACATATCTTATCCAAGACAAAAATTCTTGCATGGCAGGGGATACGCTACTAGAATAGTGAAAAAATAAAATTAAAAGTTGAAGCAAATGAAGCATAAGTCATGCTTAATTATGAAAAAAGACTTGTCGTTCTGACTTACTGTATCCACTTCGAAGTTCTCATCCAGCTTGATGCTGAAGCGCCTATCATCAACTAGCAAATTTTTGCCGCACAGGCCGCGCTGGTCTTTGCAGTATTCGCACATAATGAAATTGTGTTCGCCGTCAGACGACATTCCTATGTTCATAGGTGAAACATTAAACACCTATTAGTTCTATTAATTCAACTAATTCAATTAAGCACTTACGAAAAACATACCTAAATAAAGTAGCCCAACTAATTCAACTAACTAGTTCAACTAATTAATTCAACTAATTCAACTAAACTAGTTCTATTAATTTTCTTACTAAAAATAAGGTAGCTAGTTCTATATAGTAAAATGTTAATTAGATGATCAAATCTTTATATAATAAAGTAGGTAGTTCTATCTAGTAATATTTTGATTAGATCATCAAATCTCATATACCTAAATTTTCTTACTAAAAATAAACTAGTTCTACTAATTCAACTAGTTCAACTAAGCATTTACTAAAAATAAACTAGTTATATTAATTCAATTAGTTCAAATAATCTCATATACCTAAATTTTCTTACTAAAAATAAACTTGTTCTATTAATTTTCATACTAAAAATAAACTAGTTATATTAATTCAACTAGTTCAAATCTCATATATATACCTAATTAATATCTAGCTAATTCATCTAAAATTGACATTAATATTTAACATCTTTTTCATATAATTCATCTAACATTAACATTCTAACATTCTTATCTACGTAATTTATCTAACATTAATCTAAACAACAGAAAACAGAAAATAAGTAAAAATAATGTGTGTGTGTGTGTGTGTGTGTGTGTGTGTCTGTCTGTGTGTGTATGTGTGTGTGTACAAGCGGGGGGCGGCGCGTACAGGCGGCGGCGCGAGACGGCGATGCGACAGGGACGGCGCGACGACGAGCGGCGGGGCCTGTGAGGGCGGCGCGCGATGGGCGATGGCGCGGCGACGGCGGCAATGTCACGCGAAGAAGTTGGAGAAGAAGTGGTGGTCGATGAAACTGAATTTTTCATAAGTGTCATATATATAGGAGGGGCCTTTAGTACCGGTTGGAGCCACCAACCGGTACTAAAGGCCAATTTTCGCCAGGCCAAGGGGCGGAAAACATCCCCTTTAGTACCGGTTCGTGCCACGAACCGGTACTAAAGGCCCAATCATTAGTACCGGTTGGAGCCACCAACCGGTACTAATGGTTGTGCGCTGCCACCGGCGGTGCATAATGTTTAGTCCCACCTCGCCGAGCGAAGAGCAGCCGCACTGGTTTATAAACCCAGCCGTGGCTGCTCCTTCGAACTTCTCTATATAGCAGGCTTCTGGGCCTAACTATGGCGTGCTGCCCCGTGAGCCTGCTGGCCCTTCTGGGCCTGCATTTGCACATCCTAGGTCTGGCAGGCCCACTGGACAGCGCCCCAACAAATTTTTTATATAGTTTTTTCTTTTCTGCATTATTTATTTTCTTCTATTTATTTTTGGGTAATTTTTTTATATAGTTTTTTCTTTTCTGCATTATTTATTTTCTTCTATTTATTTTTGAGTAATTTTTTATGTAGTTTTTTTCTTTTCTGCTTTATTTATTTTCTTCTATTTATTTCTGAGTATTTTTTTCTGTATTTAGTTTATTTGTGACCCTCTCTACTCTTTCACACATGCTATGCGGGTGAAATGATGATACCATGCCAAGTTTCAGCATTTTCAGAGTTCATTTTGTAGTGATTTTCAATTTCACGGTCATTTAGCTCTCTAAACAATTAGGTAAATGACTAAAAAACAACAAATGATGTCAGAACATGTTGGAAATTGATGACGTCGCTTTGAATGCTGCATACTGAACACAAAAGAAGTCCGGAGTTTAAATAAGTCTAAAAAACATTGAAGTGCCCATGTAACAGATGAGTTCTCGTCCGAAACCCTGATACTCCGAAAAAGATTGTCCAGTTTGTACACGAAGTGCGTCCAATTTTTGCCGTGACCCTCTCTACTCTTTCGCACATGCTATACGGGTGAAATGATGATACCATTGCAAGTTTCAACATTTTCAGAGTTCATTTTGTAGGATTTTCAATTTCACGGTCATTTAGCTCTCTAAACAATTAGGTAAATGACTGAAAAACAACAAATGATTTCAGAACATGTTGGAAATTGATGACGTTGCTTTGAATTCTGCATACTGAACATAAAAGAAGTCCGGAGTTCAAATAAGTTTAAAAAACATTGAAGTGCCCGTGTAACAGATGAGTTCTCGTCCGAACCCCTGATACTCCGAAAGAGATTGTCCAGTTTGTATACGAAGTGCATCCAGTTTTTGTCGTGACCCTCTTTACTCTTTCGCACATGCTATGCGGGTGCAATGATGATACCATGCCAACTTTCAACATTTTCACAGTTCATTTTGTAGTGATTTTCAATTTCACGGTCATTTAGCTCTCTAAACAATTAGGTAAATGACTGAAAAACAACAAATAATGTCAGAACATGTTGGAAATTGATGACGTCGCTTTGAATGTTGCATACTGAACACAAAAGAAGTCCGGAGTTCAAATAAGTTTAAAAAACATTGAAGTGCCCGTGTAACAGATGAGTTCTTGTCCGAAACCCTAATACTCCGAAAGAGATTGTCCAGTTTGTACACGAAGTGCATCCAGTTTTTGCCGTGACCCTATCTACTCTTTCACAGATGCTATGCGGGTGAAATGATGATACCATGCTAAATTTCAACATTTTCACAGTTCATTTTGTAGTGGTTTTCAATTTCACGGTCATTTAGCTCTTTAAACAATTCAGTAAATGACTGAAAAACAACAAATGATGTCAGAACATATTGGAAATTGATGACGTCACTTTGAATGCTGCATACTGAACACAAGAAGTCTGGAGTTCAAATAAGTTATTAAAAATAAAAAAGAGGTGCAATGCTGGTTAATTTGCTTCAAGCCTTTCGGAATAGTGTAGACTGCACTGCACATAGCTCAATGCAATCTATACTATTCCGAAAGGCTTGAAGCTAATCAACGTGTAGGTGAGCATTGCGCCTCTTCGTCATTGTCTCTGCACTCACGGCTTATAAACCGCTCATACTGCCTCTCTCTTAGCAAGGTGGGACTAAAAATCAGCTTACTAAGAAACTCTAGTATCGGTTCATGCCACGAGCCGGTACTAAAGGTCTTTGTGGGGGCCCCAGCCTGACCACAGCCGCACTGGGCTCATTAGTACCGGTTCGTGGCATGAACCGGTACTAAAGGTTGCCCATGAACCGGTACTAATGATGTCCGCCCGCCTAGCCGTTGGAACCGGCACTAATGGTCACATTAGTGCCGGCTCAAATTCAAACCGGCACTGATGTGCTTCACATTTGACCCTTTTTCTACTAGTGATAGTGTCCCTTTGCGACGGTCGAGACAGAGCAAGTGTTTCCCAAGGTTGGCCTGTGGGTGTTGCCGGCGCTCAATTCTTGCACGGCGTGGCCTGCCCCCGGTGCTCTTAGTTGGCTAGTTGGTGTTGGCGTAGTGCTGGTCGTCGGCAACGATGTTGTGCTTGCTACGGTTGTTGCCATTGTATTATTCTACCTAGTACCTTGTATCTTCTTTCCGCTTCACTTTGCTTTGCATTCATTCCCTTTGTAACGTGGTGCTTCTGTAATCCTGGCCAATTGATGGCTTTATTAATTCAAAGTCGGGTTAGGTTCGAGCTCTTTTCAGGCTCGGCCAACGGCTTTTCTCTCTACAAAAAAAGGACCATAAAGATTCAACTGCAGGCGTAAAAAGAAGAGTGGTCTACTCAGTAGTTCTCATGAATTTGTCTTCTTGTGCACTTGTTCCTTCTCTCTTGGCGGTTCGGTGGCATAGCATCAGGTTTTTTGCATCCTATCTCGCGAGGGATGTTTTCTCGGCCACAATAAGCATCCGAGTCTATATGAACTATATAAGCCATGATAGATTTAATCTTTTTTTTTTGAATTTCCTAACGTGATTTTCTGTTTGAAAAAATTAAATATTTTTTGAATCATGAATATTTTTTAGGAATCATAGAAATTTCTTGAAAAAAGAGGACAAAATTGAAAACACGATCATTTTTCGGACTACAGGAACATAATTGAAAACCCAAACATTTTTAGAAACAATGAACACTTTTTCAAAACATGAGCATTTTTTAATTTCCCAAACGTATTCTATTTGCGATAAAATTTTGAAAATATGAAATGTTTTTGTATTTGTGAACAATTTTTAAAATTGATTGTTTTTGAATTTGTGAACATATGTTAACCATGTGTTTTTAATGCAGATTTTTTTATAAGTGCTAACATTTTATCAAATTTCTATTTAAATAATAAAAATCTGAAAAGCAAAAAGAAACTTAAAAAAGGAAAAAAAATAAAAAGAAACATAAACATAATAGTATAAAATAAGAAACAAAAAATGGAAATTAATAATAATAAATCGGTTCAAGAACCTAGAAGGTCCCTAAAAAAACAGTCTGGGAAATCTCAAAATGTTCCCAAAACTGGAACGTGACAGCTTTAGATGGGCCGGCCCATAAAGAAAGAACTACGGGCCCTTGAAAAAAGTAAAAATTTGGGCGCGCACATGTGAACAAAGTTGGCGCCAATATCTTCTGTCGGTTCCCGCCATTTTTCTGCCAACCGAGGAAAGACAAAACTAAGGCAAAACTAATCCCCAATCCCTCGTTCTTCATTCCCCAATCCAACCCCATTACCCCCACCACCAAGCCAAGCGCGGCATCCATGGATGCGCTGCCGCCACCGCCGTGGCCGGCGCACGCCCCCAAGAAGCGCATGTTCGAGCGGGCGGGCGACCAAGAATCACCACCGGGGAGCGGCAGCGTCGGCCTCGATCTCATCGGCGCCCTCCCCGACGCCGTCCTCTGCACCATCATCTCGCTGCTCCCCACCAAGGACGGCGCCCGCACGCAGGCCGTCGACCGCCAGTGGCGACCCCTGTGGCGCTCGGCGCCCCTCAACCTCGTCGCCGACCGTGACCTCTCCGGCAATAAGCGTAAGCGCGTCGCCTACGTCTCCAAGATCCTCGCCAAGCACCCTGGCCCAGCCCTCCGCCTCGACCTCCCCTCCATCCACCAAAGCCTCTACGGCAAGGTCAACCGCTGGCTTCGTTCCCAGGCCCTTACCGACCTCCAGGAGCTCCACCTCGACTACGACGGCGAAGAGTACATGATATTCCCGCTGCCGTTGTCCGCGCTCCGCTTCGCGCCGACGCTCGGCGTCGCCAGCTTCAGCTGCTGCAGTTTCCCCGACTTATCCACGCAGTTTTTGAATTTTCCGCACCTCAAGCAGCTCAGCATGTACATGGTCACCATCTCGGACTTGTCTGCGCCGTCTCTGCATTTTCCGCTGCTCAAGCAGCTCACCATGCGTGGAGTCACCATCTCGGGGGAGGCTCTCCACAGCATGCTCTCTCGCTGCCTTTCATTGGAAAGCCTTTTACTGGATTTTAACATTGGCATTGCTCGCATATGCATCAGCTCTCCCACTCTCAGGAGCATCAGCTTCCCAGGGACTTTCTTTTTCAAAGAGCTGGTCATCGAGGACACCCCTTGCCTTGAGAGGCTGCTGCCACCCACGCCAGACCATTGTATGGGGACTGTCCGGGTAATCCGAGCACCTAAGCTGCAGGTATTTGGTTTGGTGTCAAAGGGCATATCCAAACTCCACATTGGAACCACGGTTTTTCAGGTAACAACACCCTTCTACAATCAAGCAATCAGAACTCACATGTTTGCAAGTTGTTTCTTCTTATTTTGGTTTGTCATTTTCTTCAGGAAATGATTGCCATCAGCGTGACAACCACAATGCGCACCGTGAAGGTTTTGGTTATCGAATCTGTTGGCCCTAATCTTGATGCGGTAATTGGCTTCCTCAAGTGCTTCCCTTGCTTGGAGAGGCTGTATGTCATTGTGAGTAATTCATATTTGCTTGCTTTAATTGTCAACATCAGCATGATTCACTTGTGCTCTAATCATTAACCAACTGCCTTTATGATATTTATTCTTTCCATCTCCAGTCGCGCCAATGCAATGAGATGAAAAATGTGCTAAAATATGACCCACTGGATCCAATTGAATGCCTCGAACTCCATCTCAAAAGAGTGGCGCTGGAGAACTACTTTGGCAACATGGCAGATGTTGACTTCGCCAAATTTTTCGTTTTGAATGCGGAAGTGCTAGAACAAATGAACTTCGCAGTACCTACTTACCACCGCAACGACAAATGGAACTCACATGTTTGCAATCAGAACTCACATGTTTGCAAGTTGTTTCTTCTTATTTTGGTTTGTCATTTTCTTCAGGAAATGATTGCCATCAGCGTGACAACCACAATGCGCACCGTGAAGGTTTTGGTTATCGAATCTGTTGGCCCTAATCTTGATGCAGTAATTGGCTTCCTCAAGTGCTTCCCTTGCTTGGAGAGGCTGTATGTCATTGTGAGTAATTCATATTTGCTTGCTAGAACAAATGAACTTCGCAGTACCTACTTACCACCGCAACGACAAATAGAGGTCTGACCAACACAAGCTGTTACAAGTGGACAACAGAGCTTCTTCGGATGCTCGATTTGAATTCACAAGTGGTTATGGGTATAATGGCATCGATGACAAGCATACCCATGATTTATCAATGGCCGATCCCTTTGAGAGAACCTTGCTTTGATGCTGCTTGCAAATTCGGCGCCTTTCAGAAATGGCCCTTTTTGTAGTTCAAAGTAACCCTTCACCTCTAATTCTCTGTTCCTTTGTGCCTGAATGTTATTTAGTATCTTTTCTGTTGTAAGATGTAAGCTGTTTGCACCATCAGCTTTTGTACTGGCCTTAGAAGGGAGGAGCTATAATATTTGAATATTTCAGAAGTTATATTTTCTGTTTCGTTGTGCTTGAATGTTAGTATTTGACATATTTTCTGTATAGGTGCAGTGGTTTTTTCTTTCCTGTTTGATGTCACGTTGTAATATATTTACACTAGTTTAACTAGTGGTTGCTACTTTGCTTCTATACTGGCTTAAATGAAGGCAGCCCTATAATATCTAGTTTTCTGCCATGAATTGAACTTTGAAGTGCACAATGTCGCCAAACAGCAACCTCTCTACCTAATGATTGTCATCTATGGCTTATTTTTCATGTTGAAAAAGATTGTTATGTCAACAAATATGTTGATATTACAGAAAAAAGGTTGATGGAGATTGGTTGGTTTACTCAATGGAGTGAGTTCTTCCGTGGTGGTTTGGCGATGGAGCATCAGTTCAACCAAACCCCAGTTTGAAGCCATCGGTAAAGCATGTCCGACATCTCAAATTTGCCGAGGAAAGCAGTGGACACAGAACTGGTTCCCATTCTTCATTTCCAACAAGCTGACAATCTTTTAAACTGTAAATCCGCTACTAAATCATTTTTATTTCGAGAAGCATAAGACGTAAAGTTACTGCAGACAAAATTTACAGCGGGCATCAGTGCAGAACCATAAATTGAGAATAGGGAAAGCAGCAGCTCAAGCCTCTGGGTGCCAAGCAATTATTAACAAACTGCTTCATGTGACTTTTCTGGTAACTTGAGCATTCTAAATGGAGTTGGTTATGAAAAATGGGAATGCTCCCAGTTTGAAAAAAGGGTTTGAAACAGCCAGCAGGAGATTATGCGAGCAATTATTCAACGGATCCATGACCGCCTTTGTGTGTTTCCAGTTCTTCTAGCAGAGAGTACGAGAGTTTGTTGAGATGTATAAAAGCTGCAGAATAAAATCCAAGCATCACTTAGGAATATTAAACCATCTCCCGTTTCTAGCTGCACAAACTGAATATTGCAGTTAACTATTTTGGCACCACAACAGTGAATATTGTTGTTAACTATTTTGGCATCACAACAGCAGCAATCCACTCAAACCTGATTTTGATACATCACTGTGCACATCACAAAACAGAGCACCAATTCACTAAAAACAGAGTACCAACAGGACAAGATACAGAGTGCATAAAAATCACTGTACACCAAACATAGTTAGAGCATACATGCAGATAAAGATTTCAGCTGACACAATGCTCACAAATGTAGCTTCTTGGATTGCTAGACCCAGCTTGGTAAAATAGGAAGAAGTGATACACAATAGCGTAGTAGATGCAGACTCGTTCTTATCAGCCGCATCAGTCGTTCTGAATGTAGCTTCTTGGATTGACGGCTGGGAAGTAGGCTGGCCGCAATCCTAGATGCAGACTCCAGCTCGTGAACCCCTTCCTCAGCCTTTTCACCCTGGCAGTCAATCCAGATGCAGAGATCACTGAGGGCAGAGAGGTGGCCGATGCCAAGGTCAGGAGCGCTGCTGCACGCAGAGCTCGCTTCAAGCGCCACTAGTTGAAATCCGAGTGCTTTGAGTTTTGGCATGGCTCCTGCTTCAAACGTCAGAAGACCCACCTCACACTCACAGTAGAGGAGGAAGCGCTTCAGGCATCGGAATATGTTGTTCCTCTAGGCCTTGCATGTTCCCGACGCCATGCGGTAATTTTGCGCCACCAACAAGTAGCAGTTTCAGTTGCAGCAGCTTAACAATACTTGCTGGCAATTCCCTTGTACAAGTACCATATAAATCCAGCATCTCCAAACACTGTAGATCTCCGATCTGTTCAGGGAATTCTGTAATGCAGCTTCCTTCAATCCGCAGGTACCTCAACAGACACAACCTCGTTATATTTTTAAGATAACCAATTTCCAACTTCTCACTCCTGTGTAGAGCAAGCATTCTCAGGGCTGGAAATTCCAAAAGAGGAGGTACTTGATCAGTATATCCAAATACGCCAAGGGTTCGAACATGAGCAGTGACCATGGATGGCACGGTCTTCGCATTTTCTAGGCCACGGTAGTCAATCGAGAGTCGCCGAACTTTATGCCGTGAGACCAAGGTATGTGTTTGATGACCACTTGAAGTGATAAAATTTTCTTCCGCTGCCTTGGATATAATGAGATCACGGATCATATCATGCACACGGCACACGGCATGCCATTGCTTGACCATCATGGTTGTTATATGTTGGTTGGCCATGTTTCTGTTTATCAGTTCATTGAAATAATCTTTTCCTGCATCGGATAAATTTTTTCCCACCATCAACCTACCAAATCTTTCTGCTATCCACCACCTCACCAAATCCATTTGGACCTCATAATCTTCCGGATACATACTTGATGAGGCACGAACAGCGAGGCGCTAATTCGTACGTGTAGATGGTCCGATCTTTGACGGCGATGCTTGATTAATAGTTCATCCCCCTGTTCCCCTTCACAATCTCCAAGAATAATTTTCACCCGCGTACAAAAATACACGAATAAAAATAATGATCCCCTTGGATCAGCACGTAGGCGTCGATGTGATGATCAATCCTCCGTCGCTAGCAAATTTTCACGATGAAAAAATTCATAGATGATACACAAGATATAATCACCCAAAACCTGAACGTTTTAGTGTGTTGTTCATAACTTATGAATAAACTCAAAACTCATCTGATTACAAGGTCGTAGCCTAGCTTTTTATATGCCAAAAAAAAAACAGTACGTCAACTCTAAACCTAGATGCTTAGACTCCAACTCCCTCACGTCATGTGCTAACTAGAAAAAACAAATCGTAACAAGATAGAAAAAGGACTCACGTACGTGCTAGCTCGTTGACTCAAACAAAAGGGATAAGAATCTAACAAATCTGCACCAGGATTCTACCTATCGCCACTTGATACGGAGGGGTACGAAAATTAGGCTCCACCGAAGCCAGCGCTGGCTCCGCCTTAATCTCTTTTATTTTCTTGTAAGACGCATGGTGTCATTCTGATTCCTTTTTATTTTGAAACCAATTTGATCTCTTGCCATTTTATGTGTACGTGACTTTTTTGTACACCTTTAGACTACATGCGTATAGGCCTCTGCGCTAACATGCCAATGACATCTCCTGGTTTCAATGCATGCGTCATATAATTGGTCTCTGGTCTGCTAAGTGCCAAATTGATTCCCGGTCCACAAAGTTCACGCACAGGACCATCCTTTCCTCGATGAAATTTGACCGCTTGCATGGCATTAGGAAGTTTCATGCCCGCATCAATACTTAAATACAGTAGGCAGGTCTTCAGTTGGAGTGTAAGATCATTATAGCAAAGAGATAAGATCCTTTCCATTTCCTCCACATGAGGGTTTTTCTCAAGTCCTAACCAATGGAATTTCGAACCGAGATCCAGCCTTCTGTGCTATCTGATTTTGTGGTCAACAAACTAGCAATTGTGATGACTGCTAATGGTAAAGGATTTGATCATGCCTTGTCTTGTAT